TGGGGGTTGGGGGGAGAAAAAAGCCATCGAGGGTGGGGGGGGGGGAAATGCAAGCTCCCAAAAATAAAGAGCAAAGATTGCATTGAGCAGCGAGCAGCAGTGCAGAAATAGATGGTGGCAGTTTCGTGTCAGTGAGTTTGCATTGCCCCTTCCTGGTCCACGAGCTGGAGAGAGTCGAAGGGAATTGCATTGACTACAAGTGGAGAAGTCCCCCTGTTCGCCTGCACTGTACATGTTGGGTGCATCTCTCCATTCTCACCCTCTCTCTCCCTCTATTTTTTTCCTCCTCCCCTCTCTTTCTCTCCTGCATTGATTTTTTTTCTTTTTAAAGTGTGACTGAAACAAACCAAAACAAAAAGGGACATTGGATCTATTCTGGTGGCTTCTTCTCTCTATCTTTTTTTTTTTTTTTGGTCTTTTTTATGATCAGAAACAAAACCCCACAACAAACAAACAAACACAAAACAAAAAGAAAGGGTCTGGCTCAGCAACAGCATGGATGTGTTGGCTAGTTATAGTATATTCCAAGAACTACAGCTTGTCCACGACACCGGCTACTTCTCAGCTTTGCCATCCTTGGAGGAGAACTGGCAGCAGGTGAACCATTTAAATTACTCCTGTAAAGCTTTTTAGTGCAGGCAGTCGGTGTGTTGGGGGCTGCATTTCTGATTTTCTTTCTTTTTTTCCCTGTAATACTTAATTTAGAGGGGTTTTGGGGGGTGGGTTTGGGGGGGTTGGTTTTGTGTGTGTAGGTAACACCTTACTAGATCAATTTTTTTTTTCAATTACCAACTGAGCAGTCCATTCAAAGCCTTCAGTCATAACAGCACACCAGGCAGTATCTGCCATCCAGTGAAATTCTTTGGAGTTTGTTTTTATTCAGATGATTTTCAAAGCTTAGTGATTTTTTTGTTCTTTTAAACAAGGCTGATCCCTTCCAGCCAGTGTTGACAATTGGCAGCTGGTGGAAACAGAATAGATCATGCTTATTTTCAGGTAATTAGTATGTGTCCATAAAAAAAATCCTACCTTCATTCGAGGTTTTTGTTTTTAACCTTTCTTTTTCTTTTTTCCCCCTGCAGAGGGGGTAGAATCAGTAGGCAAAGATTGTAGGTTAATTCTTCAGTGAGAGATGACTTAAAATTTAAATGTTGTGGGTGAATTTCTTGTTGTATCTGAAACCTGTTTAAAACAATGACACTTCAGGCTGGTTTCAACAACCAGTGTGTAGTGAGACCCCATAGGGTTAATATGCAGTAGGAACTGGAATACTTCTAAAGGTGGAAATCAAGTGTTATGGATGCATTAAAATAATGATTAGTGACATGAATAAATAATATCAAGGGGAAGAGTAGCTTATGCAGAAATGGGTGAGTTGTGTAAAATTCACAATGAACCCAAATGCAGTGGGGGGTGGGGGGAGCGCTCGGCCAAATCTGAGCAGTCACAAAGCTTTCT